GCGCCACACAGCCACGGGGGAGGCCATGTGGAGCAGCAGGGGAGGCTGGGCGGAGCCGTGGGGGAGGCCGCGCGGTGCCGGGTCCTGCCCATGCCGCCACGCGCAGCTCAAGCGCTACCGGCAAAGCTCCCGCGCGTCTCCCACGGCCACTTGCTCTGCAGGCGCCGCTTCAGCCTTTCCTGGAAGGAGCTGGTGGTGATGGTGTAGAGGATGGGGTTCAGGGCACTGTTGATGGGCAGGATGAAAATGACCACCCACGAGGTGACGGTCCCTGCTCCGACAGGGAGGGGATGTGAGGGAGCCTGGTGGGGGTGGCCCACATGAAAGGAGGGGGTCCCGGCACAGGGCCTGGCCCCAGGCTGCAACCAGGTGCTGCTCCGGCGAGGGGCTCACCTGGGATTTCCACCTGTAGCAGGGAAAGCAGCTTGAGCAGGAAGATGGGGATCCAGCAGAGAGCGTCGGTGAGGACGATGAAGAAGAAGCGCTTGGCGACGGCCACCTCCTGGGAGCAGGCGCTCGGCTCTGCTGTTCGCGCTGCCGAGACGTGGATGGAGTAGAACATGCTGGCGTAGGCGAACACGATGGTGACAAACGCCACGAGGTTCAAACCTGGGGGGAGGACAAATCAGCCTTGATGTGAGCAAAACATGGGAAGCGCACGGGAAGCAGGCGGGAAGCTCACGGGAAGCAGGCAGGAAGCACATGGGAAACACGCAGCAAGTGTGGGGGAAGCAGGCAGGAAGCGGATGGGAAGCAGGCAGGAAGCACATGGGAAGCGCATGGCAAGCGTGCGGGAAGTGTGCAGGAAGCAGGCAGGAAACGCGTGGGAAGCAGATGGGAAGCGCATGGGAAGCGTGCAGCGTCCCGGCTGCACCCAGGACTATTCCCCCTTCTCTCACTAGAGGGGGCAGAGACACCTCCGCGCCTGCCACGGCCACGCTGCCCAGCACCCCGGCTCACCCAGGTAGATGCCCGTGGAGTAGCCCCGTGCGCGGGGCCGCTCGCTGCCGTCGGACTGCAGCGGGAAGCACACCCCGTTCCGCCCGTAGTAGTTCCCGAAGGACTCCTTGCAGCACAAGGGCACGGCGCTGAGGCACAAGCCCAGCAGCCAGATGCCCGCCAGCGTGCAGACCGTCTGCCTGCGGCCCGCTTGGTAGTGGCCGAAGGGGAACACGATGGAGAGGTATTTCTCCAGGGTCACGTAGGTGAGCAGCAGCACGGACACCTCGGAGGAGAGCATGGCCAGGCTGCCCACGAGCTGGCACTCGAGGCTGCCCATCCAGGCCTGCGCGTGCTTGTTGTACTCGCCCGAGTACTTGAGGTCGAATGCGCCGATGATGAAGAGGTAGATGCCCATGAGGCAGTCGGCACCTGTGACGGGGGCAAGGGGCGCTCAGGGAAAAGCTGTCCAAACTGAGCCCTTTGCATTGGTGCCGTGGCCACAGAGCTGCAGTGGAAAGGTGGAGGCCTCACTCCAAAGCTCTGTGTGTTTGAGTTGCTGCTGCTGGCGCTGGTAGCTGTAGACCTGGCCCAGGGGACAGGAGCCCACATGGACGTGGCACAGAAGGACAGCAAGAAATGCATATTTCAGCATGGAAAAACACATTGGCCAAGGAGCCCTAAAGGTGTCTGGAGACCCCTCCAAGCAAGACATGACCAGAGCTACAGTCCTTGTCCTGGGAAAAGGGTGGCCCCAGGAGCAGCAGGGCTGGACCGTGTGTGCTGGATGGGCCATCTGCACCCACTGCTC